AAAAAAAAATAAAAGTGTCTGTTTGCAAAGTATTAACAATGACTTTTCACCTGTAAGTTTTGAGTTTGCTGTAACTTAACTTTCACCTAAACTTTGTGGGTAGAAGAAGAGAAGGAAGCAGGGAACCAAACATAAAACAAAGACAGTAAATGCCAGCAAAGGCTTAGGGGACCACAGTCCTACAACATTAGAAAAACCCATGTAACTTGTATTCTTAAAAAGTCATATTTTCAGTTTTGTCACCAAAGAATGTCAGACTTTATTCATAGGTGGACTACAGGAATAGAGCCCAGATAGGCCTGAATGTCATGCCCAAAGCTTCCATGTGAGGGAACTTAGATTCATTTTCTCTCTCAGCAAACATTGAGGCATATGCCAGAACTGAAAGAGCTCTTTCTGTGTGGGGCAGAGTGGCTTACACCTGTAATCCTAGCTACTGGGGGAATGGGGGAGGAGGGTGGGCACAGAGATCAGGAAGAGTGTGTATCGAGGCCAGGCCAGGCTAAAAGTTCAAGAGACCCCATCTCAATCAGTAAAAGCTGGGTGTGGTGGTTCATGCATGTCATCCCAGCTACCCAAGAGAAGACTGCAGTCTTGGCTGGCCTGGGCATAAATTTGAGACCCAATTCAAAACATACCTAAAATCCAAAAAGAGCTGGGGGGCATGACTCAAGTGGTAGGATATCTTCCTGGCATACATGAGGCCCTGAGATCAAACTTTCCCAAAAATAAAAAACAACTCTTTCTGTCATGACTGAGCAGGATCAGAGCTATAGATTCCAGAAAAATGTTAGGCTAGGGCAAGAAGGAAACCAAGTACTTTAACAGTCCTAATGAGAACAGCAAAGCTGAGCTTCTTACCTGGTGCTATGTTCTGAAGATATGTGTCCCCCTAAATTAATATGCTGAAATTCTAAGCCCAAATTGATGGTACTGGGAGGTATGACCATTGGGAGTGATTAGGTCTTGAGGGCAGAGCCCTCATGGATGAGATTAGTGTCCTCATAAAAGAGATCTCAGAGATTTGAGTTCTTTGTGCTCTGTGAGGACCCAGGGAGAAGATGGACATCTATGGGGCAGAGGCCCTAATTTGACCTTGGATATCCCAGCCTCCACACTGAAAAATAAATTTCTGTTGTTTATAAGCCACCCAATCCGTGGCATTTATTTTGTTCTTGTAGCTCAAACAGACTAAGACATGTTGTAAATCCTCACTCCAGCAGCAAAATCAAAAGCAACTGAATGACTATGAGGTCTTGTTGTGCCATCCCCTACTTTTATATAGAGTATCTATGTATCCTTTGTCATTAAAGAAATATTAGATTGTAAATGTGGAGGATAAATAAGCAATTTGTATGAAATTGACATCTAAAAATATGTCAAAACCCTACAACATTTTATTGAATTATGGTTCTCTAAAATCAACAATAAATAAGTGAATCAGTATCTTCTGTACTTACAAGAGAACATGAGCAACGATGGCATTCACATCGAACAAGGTGTCAGTAGGGAATTCTCTGAGCAATATGTTGCCTCTATAAAAAAAGTTTAAAAAATACATTATAGAAATATTTCCTTAGAATTCAATTTACATTAGGTTATAAATTATTTGGTGTTAGAGTCTATGTCTTGTCCATGTACTCCATGCACCTACCAGAGTGCTGGCATTCAAAACACTGTCAAATATTCAATAAATATACACAATTAATATGTTGATTTTGAGAAACATAGGCCCTGGACCTGGCA